GGACACTGATGGGTCAATGGTGGCCAGAACCACACCTGCCTTGACCAGCACTACTTCATTATGCATACTTTTTGCCCTGTATTTAAACTAAAACCTCAAGTCAGTATCCTGAAAACAGACAGACTTGGGTTTGTCTATCCACTTCCCAATGTGGTCACATTGAGTAATAGCCCTCTTCTGTTTTTTTTTTTACCATTACTGGGCTTTTTAACTGGAATATCTGGATGGGTAGGCAGGCGTAGTTTGTTAGAACTGGCCACATCTTCTCAGGGAAGCTAACTCTTTCAGGCTTGCTGCACATTGCCTCCGCCACACAGTCGTAGTCTGCCATGGGATGCTGAAGTCAACAAAGAAAACCAGGTCAGTAGAAGACTGACAGGTTCCTACAACGTAAATGAAGAGCAAGTGGCAGGAGAGCAAGAGAAGTTGGTGGCTTAGGGACAGGGGTGTCCTTTTGTAGGAAAAATAATGCAGCTACCCCCTCCAGCTCTGTGAAAGCCATTAGCTTGTCTTTTACAAGAACTACATATCTCCAGGCCAAGGCAATCTGCTGGATTACCTGAGGAAAGTCATTGCCCTGGGTCCTATCATATTCTCCTCTCTAAATAAGAGTCCTGGGCCCTCCAGCCCCTCCCACTGCTTTACCTTGCAACTTCTGCACTTAGGACAGCCACACACAGGCTTTCAGCTGGCTAAAAGGGGCATATAATTCAGATGAGGTCAGATTATTTGACACCGAGGTTGACTCTTTTGGGAGGATGGGTATAGGGTCTCATGTAGCCTAGGCTGACCTTAAACTCTCTATGAAACTTAGGTCAGTGACCTTGAACTTCTGATCTTCCTGCCTCCAGAGTGTTGGGATTACAGGAGTGTGCCATATAGGTGGATGCAGTGCTAGAGGTGGAACCCAGGGCTTCATACATGCTAGGCAAGCATTCTACCAACAGAGCTACATCCCCAGCCCCCTGACAAATTTCAATATGTAAATTTAATTAAATCATTAGTTGATAGGCACCTCCCAAGACACCTCCCAAGGGAACATGTAAATTAACTGGTGCCCAAGGAGTCAGCATTTTAAAGACACCTCCCCCAAGGATTTCACTAGCATTTCCTCTCTCCAACACAGCCTGCCAACGAAAATAAATCGAATTTTGTTTGTTTGTTTGTTTGTTTGTTTTGAGACACGGTCTCCCAGTAGTCCCAGCTGGCCTGGAACTCACTATGTAGACCAGACTGGCCTCAATCTCACAGACACCTGCCTGCCTCTGCCTCCCAAGTGCTGGGGTTAAAGGTGTGCACCACTATGTCCACCTAAGATTCAACTGTTTTTTTGCTTCTTTCCGTTAGGTTTTGGGCTCAATTTAACTGGAGTAAACAGCAAGACCTGGTTAAAAAGAATAGCTCTGTGGACTGATGCCTACTATGTAGTTTCTGTAGCTTGCTTAGGACTCAGGGTAGGAAGGCTTGGAGTTTCTACACAATGGGAAAGCTTGGACTATCTCTCTACACAATGGGTATTTTCTGTGCAGTGCTGAGAACTGAGTAGAAACTGTGGGAACAGAGCAGGAAACAGAGAAAGCTTCAGGTTTGGGGGAGGTGCATCTTGCAGGATCCTGGGAACAAAGGGCTCTTGCTAACCCTCTTCCCAGTTAACAAATAGCTTTGAAGGCCTGGCCCAGCCTTTAGAAGCCTTCAGCTTCTAGAGCCCAATGCTAAATTATCACAGTTTGCCACAAAAATAATCAGTCCTAGAAAGAATAATAACTTTTCCTATTGGGCCATATCTAAATAACCCTGGAAATTGCAACTCTTAAAAACAACTACCCTCCATCTTAAAAAAATGGGGGAGGGGGAGCAGTGACTGCATTACGGTGCAGAGAGAAAAAAAAAAAAAGTCCCTCAGAATTCTGATTTTCACATCTGAGCAAGCATCTGTTGAAACCTGTCATAAGGAAAGGTGACATGCTTGGAAAATCTAGGCTCAGACCACATGTCGCAGGAATTTGCAAACAGAATGGCACGTTTCACAAGAACACCTAGGCGTAATTGCTCAGGGATTACAATGATTTCACAATTTGCCATTACCAGTTGGAAGCGCCCGGATTCCAGGTTGCCTGATGAAACAAACGGTCAAGTTCAATGGAGCAGAATTTATTAGCACCCACATAAGTGCACCCCATTCTATAAAGCATGTTGATGGGGCTCTTGTATCTTTTTCATTTTTCTTCTGATGAAATTTTGTTCTTAATACCCATTAAATAACAGGCATTGGATATAGAAAACTGAATTAAAATATGACCCCTCCAAGTTCTTACAACCAGGGATTTTTATAAGTTCATTTTCCCTTCATTCAATATCTATCTGCATATTGACTTATTAGCATTTATCTATTCCATCACTGCTTAAACATTTTCATGCTTTAAACTGTTCCATTATTCTCTAAGTAAGTACTTTGTTAACAATTATCTGAAAGCAGCAACTATCTGATGCTTAACTGTGCATGGATTGAATAAATTTATACACAAAATGTGTTCAAGTAAATTCAAGCATTCATATCTTGTTTGCTGAAGTCAATGCCCCTGGTGGCATAGCCTCCCCTGGGTTATAATCAATGAAATCCTTCCCCAGCTGGAGGACTGGGTGACACCCTCACAGTTCAGTACCATCAAAGATGGGGGTTCTGCTTTTCTACCTAAAAATCCTATTGCCTATTAAGGTATGAGATTTGATTTTCATACCAGAATATTCTAAAAAGGCAAAGTAGCATTTGTACCTATAACTTTTCAAGAAGTTTGTTAGCTATATAACCCCACCCCTGCAACCTTCACTCCCCTCAAGTTAAAAAGAATCTTTCTAATCACAATTTTCCTAACTTCCTAGACATATTTCCATGTGGCTGGTGAGGACCAATGAACTGAGGTCAGCTCAGCCACTCCTACTAACTAGGTGTGAACCACTGGCCAAGCCTTTTCACCTGAGGCTGAGAGACAACTGAAGAATCCCATATTTTAAATACAAAATGAAGGAAATAGTGCCTTGAGTTTCAGAAGGAACTGTCAGAGCCAACTGTCATCTGTGTCTTGATGCAATCCCCCAAAGATACAGTTTTTATAAACACTTAGGTGATGGAAGCGCTTTACTAAAGGTGCCCAATGTTTGTCCCAAACAAAACGGAGACTGCATAAAAAGGGAAATGTTTGGGCCATATCTCACCCTCTTTCCTGCCTCACACTCAACTACAAGCTGAGTAAGAACACCTATTTTCTTTTCTCCTGCATCTGCTCTTTGAATAACAGGTTTGGGCTTCTAGAGCCCCACCCCACCTTTTAACTCAGCCAAAGAACACGCTGCTACAACTAACCCAACAGTGCTGGAATCTGCCAGGGAAAGGAAAGCAAACAGTCAGAAAATGCCACCTGCCAATCCTCCTCCCACAAGCTACCCTTAGCCCAACTTGCATTTTCCCCAGGATCCCCTGCTCCCAGTTTACACCCTAATAAGAGATACAATGTGATGTTATCAAACCAGTGTCCTCAGTGTCTGAAATTTTACAAAGCAGAATCTAGGCAGAAACAAGATAAGGTATCTGCTTGATGAACTTAAAACTGTCTATCACCACTTTAAGATAGTTACTGGTTTTCTGGAATTTCAGCTGAGCAACTCACAAACCTAAAAGGTTTAGAAAACCTTTAAAAGCGGATGCTTTTAAATCCAAAATACCTGTTGTAGGCATAGTGCATATATATATATAACAACTATAGCACGGATAAATGTGTATTTTATTATATATTTTAAAACACAGAAATCTTTAAGCTACAAGAGTGGAATGACTTGGATTTAGGATGCTTAGAAAGACATTCTATTTGCAGGAAAAAATATCAACAGAGCCGAGTTAAAACCTACTATTCACCAGGTAGTGTGCTGGGCGCCCGACACACATCAACCTACATAAATCTCATAAAATCCAAGAAACAAGTCTTTTCCTGCTTTTCAAGTGATGAGATGGATAAATGGAAGCGTTGAATGACCTGGTCAAGGTAATTGCAGACAGTTGGAGAGCAGGGATTTGAACCAGGCTAAGTCATTTCAAAGCCCAAGAGCTTAATCACTGTGTTGAAAACTGCAGGCTGTGTCATCTACTGAGAGGAGATGCTTTCTGAAATACCTCCTTCCAAGGGAAAAATAATAACTCGAAGCCAATTTCTGAGTCTTTTCCAATGATCTACACATCTGACAATCTGAAATCTTTACATGTCTGCCTGTAAAAACCCAATCCATCCTTAGATGCTTACTACCTGCCTGACTACTACAGCTTCACCAAATCAAAACGACCAATTAATTCCCTAAGGTATTAAACCCCAAACCTCCCAAGCAGCTTAAAACTTTATCCTCCGCGTGTAAGAATTGTTTTTTTTTCCATAATTAGCTCAAATTCATGGGCGCTTTTTAAAGTCACTGGCAAAGTCACAAGTCAAAAACACTTGTCATCACGGATTTAGTAAAATAAGTCATTGTCTTTAGCCCCAACATATAAAACAAATATCCTGTGATTCTACAAATTGGAAAAGCGGCGGACAGAGAGTAAACACTGCGCTGGTACTGAATAAGGAAATGGTTGTTTTCCTCTCGTGGGCACACAAGAAGTCGTGAGCGGATAAACATCAGTACCATCAGGCTCCTCCAGACTCCGCCGTGAGAAGTCCACCGCCAAATATTTATAAGCAGTATTTACATCCACTCTTTGAAGGGTTCTTTCTTGCTTTTTCCAAGCTAACTTTTCTAAGCAGGTGGCCTTGATTTTAGACGATTGTTTAAAAAGTGTCTCCGATGTGGCCGGCCGGTGGCTGGTGATTTTGTAGAGTTCAAAGTCCTATTCTGTGTGTTTAAGTCCCTAAGAACTGGAGAATGAAAGGATTGCGGAGATTAAAAAAAGAGGGGTGCCCAGTGGATGGGCGAGGAGAGAGCCCCGCTTCCCGCGCCCTCCTCCCCAGGTAGCTCACCAGGATGCCCATCACGTCGGTCCAGAGGCGGGAGAAAGCCTCGGATGTGCCGGCCTCGGATGTGCGGGCCTCGGGCTCCGGCTCCACCTCGGGCTCCGGCTCCGGCGCCGGGCCAGCAGCTCCCGCGTCCTCCTCCATGGCCGCGCGGTGCGTCCGGGTCCCCGCGGTGCCCTCGGCCCGCAGCAGCGCGTGGCTCCCGGGGCGCAGAGTCCCCGCCCGCGGCGTCACCGGGCCGCACCCCCGCGTCGCATGCCCCGGCCTTGGCCCGGCCCAAGCCCCACCGCGGGGACCCCGCACCTCGATTCCACCGCGCGGGACAGCGCGACTGACAACTCCACAAACTTTTCCCCGCCCGGCCGGGCGCAGCCACACGGGTAGCAGGAGCCGAGTCCGCACCACCGGCTGCGGCGGGGAGCGCGCTGCGCCTGGGCGCGATGAGCCCCCTGCCCCGCCGCGCTCCCAGCCACTCGGCCCGGCACTCAGCTACACGCCACTCTTCTGGGCTGGCGGGTCTGGGCAGGGCCCGGCAGGGGGACGGCGGCGGCTGGAGATCCGGATCAGCCAGTCCTGGGACCCCTCTGTTCAGAATGAGCTCTTCCAGCTCCACATGACTCCCTCCCCTCCAGGCTAAAGAAAGCGTTTAGCAACAAAAGGTGCTCTGATGTCAGGCGCTGTGCATGGAAATGAGCCCCAGACAGGAGAACAAATCGCCTGTTGAAAGCGCAGCCGCGCACAAGTCCCGGATCGCGCCTTTTCACCCCCGGCACCTTCGGTTGCAGAAACTGCAGAAAGTTAATCTTTAAGCGTCTCCTGCCGCCCGGGTTCACGGGGAGTCAGCAGCATGGTGACAACCCTACACCTCGCCCCTGAGGAATTACTGCCCTGCCTGTCAGCCAAGGATTCGCTTGAAAAAGTGTGACCGCCTGGGCACGAGCCATTGTTTGGGTCTTTGAGTGGGGATATTTTGGTTCCTGAGTGGTGGCAGTGCTGGGCATTTATTGGGCTTTTCGCTAATTAGAGGGAAACCCTCTTTGGGTTGTAAGGGTTTCTTACATGATGGACACAGGCAAGGGCTATTTGCAAAACTATCGTATGTTTTTCCATGGGGAGGGTCCCTGGCAGGATTCTTTTATGAGGGAAATAGCCCTGAAGAGGTTGGTTTTTTCCTTCTGTGATTTTCTTTTCTTTTAAAGTACTTAGAGAAATTCCCCTAAGAGATGACAATTCCTGTCGCATTTAGTTGTGTGGCTGATCAGTTTGTGAAAGTAAAGAAACCACCACGAGGAATCTTCCATGTTAAAGAGTTGGTGGGCAGACTCAGGTGAGGGACCCCAAGGAGAGAACATAAGCTTGCTTCCGAGTTTCTCCAATTCCTTTTGAACCCACATAAAAGCATACATCCTCTTGACACTGGCAACACTAACCTGTGGGACTGAGGAACAACTCTTATTGACAAGTTCATAACACAGGAAGAATAAAAGAAGGTTAGAGAAATGATCAGAGGGTAAAGTGCTTGCTGGGAAAGCCTGAGGACCCCAGTTGGAATCCCCAGAATCCATGTAAAAGACCTGGTATGGCAGTGTTCACGCATAATCCCAATGCTGGGGGGGTGGAGTCGGGAGGATGCTTGGGGCTTTGATGGTTAGCCATCTAGCCACTTGATAAACTCCAGGTTCAGTGAGAGTCCCTGTCTCAAAAATTAAGGTGTCAAGTGATAGAGGAAGATACCTGATGTCAACCTCTGACCCCCACAGGTGAGTGCATGGGTACACTCACTTGCACGTACATATACATGTGTACACACAGGCATACAGTACACACATATACATAAAAAGAAAGCAAAAAGGAAAGATTTTTCCTTCATAGTCATCGGACACTGTGCTAAAGTGGAAAAGAACCCTGTACCATGAATCAGTGGAGCCAGACCTGATGCTTCTCTGGGCAGATGCAGTTTAGGCCAGATAGTTCTGATGCTCCCTCATGCTGTATGAGTCTATGAACCCAAGCAAAGTCCATAAGAAAGATGAGCTTTAAAAGAAATTGCATGTCTATAAAGACATGAAAATATCTAAATGTCAAGAAAAAGTGAATAATCTTTACAGATAATTTTACAGGCATATTTAAGAATTTCAACTAGCCAGGAGGTGTGTCTTTTCAACTTCAAGAAACAGAACAGTGTAGCCTGCCCTTTGTATAAAAATCTGGCATGTTGACAGAGCAGTGTCTTACACAAGGCTGTGGGGGTTGGGCCCAGGGTAGGAGGGCCAATCTCCAACACCAATCAGGAGTCTTTTTCTTCTTGACTCAGATGACCTGGGGCAAAACATTGACCTTCCAGTGCTGCAGTTTCCCCATCCAAGATGAGGAAAGGACAAACTAATTGCCACCTACACCCCTTCAGAGTCATAGTATGTTTCCTAGTCATCTAAAGATAGACATATATACAGCATATACATATGCATTGATATAATCGAACCTTAGCCAGCATTTTGGCACTTAGAGCAATAAATCTTTAAATACCTTCAATAGTTAAGTTTCTTTTCCTGGTGCCTCCTTAGAACTGGCTGAGGAAAAGAGATAAACAGAGTACTGGGGAAGGGCTGGTACTTATATATGGAAAGGCAAATTTTATTTTGCCATATTGTCTAGTGACCTTTTTACCTCTGAAACATAATTTTGACCATTTAAAATCTGAAGCTGAAATTCGGTAGGTGGTGGCCTAAGATTGTAAATCCTTGGGGACTAGAGAGATGGCTCAGTAGTTAAGAGCACTGGCTGCTCTTGCAGAGGACCCAGGTTCAGTTCCCAGCACTCACATGGCAGCTGACAACCTTCCATAACTCCGTTCCAGGGGATCTGACGCCCTCTTCTGACCTCTGCGGGCATTTCACGACACAGGTGCACTTAACCTACATGCAGGCAATACATGCATACACATAAAATAAAAATAATATTT